TTATTCCAATCATATAATAAATTCAAAGTTTTAAATTTAAGGTAACAAAGATGAAAAAGTTAGTTTTCTGTCAGCAGCTACTTTAATGGTTCTGAAGAGTTAGCAACAATGATTCACCACAACAGAAAACCACTTTTGATATATTTTCATATTCCAATTACTAAAATTTACCCAGGCATCTCTATTAGGTGGGAGGATATGAATACTCATTATCTGCACTCTAAAAGGGACTAAAGCAATTCATGATAGAATCCACCTGAAAAATTACTTTCAAAGAGGAAAAGTATCATAGACAGTAACCCCCCCCCCCCCAACTCCCAACACCAGAAAAAAGAAATCTGAGCAACTTAAGCAACTAACATTCCAATCCTTTACAAAAGAACTAGTATTATTCAAATATTTTTAAAAAAAAAAAAAAACCCAAACAAAAAAAACCCCAAAAACCAAACCAAACCCCCAAAACACAAGTGGAAACACTTTTTTGCCCTGCAGGAAATAACTATACAGGAAGCCCACAAAAAGGAATGTCTGGTGCTAACAACCAAGGCCACCTACAAGCACCCGTAAGATAAGAAAGCACGTCCAAACCACTCCACTATCAGCTAGATGAGAACTGTGTGTCAAAGCAGCTCTTGTCTAAGCAGATATGTCTCATACTGCATAAAAATCACCAAACCGCAACAAATGAGGGTCCCAGAAATAAAAATAAAATAATTTCCTGTTGCAGCCGAATGATGGTTTTATTAAACAACTAAGTTCCATTCCTACCTGTAGGCAAAACTTGAAACACTTGACTCTCACTTGGGGAAAACACTGACTAGAGGGACTGAAACTGAGACTTTGCAAGCTAGCACTTTGTTGATCTCATTTCTGCTTTTAAATGAGCACTTTACAAAAGCTCTCCAAATAAAGATACCTGCAGTTGTCCAGACTAGATCTGCTAGAGGCACATCCACAAAGAAAAACACATGTTTTCTATTGCAACATATTATCAGAAAAAATGTTTTTCCACTTGTTTTACTAAAAATAGGTAAGATGAGATAAAAAAAGAATTTCCATCTGCTTGAGTTTGTTTTCCTACAAGACCACTGGATTCGCATGCCTTAGGAAGACAGATTTCAGTACAACCCATTTTGACCAGCAATTTGTTAATTTCTCTGAACCTGAATACACATCTGTTCTGCTGAAGCAGGTTAAGTACAGATGGAATCATCTGCTGTTCTTATCAAGCTATTCTGAGATGAAAAGATGCATCATCTTTCAACTATCCATCAAGACCGGTCCTTGTCCCACCTGAAAAACTGAAATACAGACACCAGATCCAACAGAAAGACATATATTTCCAGGGCTGAAAATACTTATTCATGCACAGCTGATAAGTATAAAATGACTAGGTTTGTGTTTAGGTTTTTACACTAAATGTGGTCCAAAGTAAGTCCTATATAAGCTGAAGAAGACAGTAGGTATAGGAAATATTCATTTTTATATGCTATTTAAGTGAACAAGAAAAGGATGTAACTTCTTTTAACACAGGATGAAGACAATGAAGTTTGGGGCTATCAAATAAGCAAATTAGGCATATCTATCCATAAAGTAGTCAGCAATTAAATGATCATGAGAATCAGCTCCAAAATAATCATATTCAGACTTCCCAAATAAACCTGCTGAAAGAGCCACTCCCCCACTATTGCAATGATGGTTCAAGGCTGTCATTTAATTCAAGTCCAGAACACTATGCTGGTTAATTTACAACATGATCTGAAGCTACCTTTACACAGTTATTTTTTATGTAAGTATCAGAAGTACTTACTTTAAATATAAATAAATGAGATGGTAGAACACAATTTTGTAAAAGTTAGTCACATTAGGTCCTATGCAATGATCTGAAAAAAAGAAAACCCCTCAAACACCTTTCGTGTTCCATGAGTATGAGAATATGCTCTTTTCAGCTTTAGTTCTCAGACTTATTCTTCAAAAATATTTCATCTACTTTAAACAGAATGAGCAAGTATTGACAGACAGAGAGTGAAACATGGTGTTCTTTTCAGAAAATACAAGGTCCCCTATGAGGAAGGAAGAAGAGGTATCAGAAAGTGGAAAGCCAGAGGAGCTGTAGCTGTGATCTCAGGCAAACAGTTACGAAGGGAACCACAGATAGAAGACCCATGAAAGGGAAGGAAATACTTGTGGGAGAGAAAGGAGAACTAGACCAGAGTTGAAGGTAGCTTAATTACACACTTGCAGGCAGTAAAGAGTTTGAAGCAGTCAAAAAAACATTTTACAATACCCCTCCTCACACTACAAGAGTCTAGTGACTAATAAGCTCAATTTGGGATAGAGGGACATGTTTTAATGACTTTGCTCAGTCTTCTCTCTCTCAAGAGAAAAAATTCTCTTCAAAATTCAACACTGAACTGCAGTGGAATGGTGGGGGGATGTCAGTCCATAGCAGCTCCTCTCTGCTGCTCCTCCCTCCTCCCCCTTTTCCCCTACTCTAGCACAGGTCCTGCCCAGGGGCTAGAGTCCTTCAGGATAAACCTGCTCCATCCAGCATGGTCCTCCCCACAGACTGCGGTGTGGATACCTGCTCTGCTGCCTGCTCACCTCCTCCTGCTCTGGCTCCAGTGTTCACGGGGCTGGCTCGTGTTCTTTTTTTCCCTCATCCTCACTGCCTGGGGGGTCACTTGCTCCTTCTTAAACGTCCTGTCCCAGAGGCACCAGTAGTTTTGCTCAGAGGCTGAGCTGTGCCCTGCAGCAGGTCTCTTGTGGAAAAAGCCGGAACCAGCCTCTTCCCACAGAGACATCATCAGTGCCAACACCTGCGCACAGCACCCAGCACAGGTGTTTTGGATTTTTTAAACAGCTAATCACATAAAATAAACCTGCAGCCACATGAACACAAAGCTGTTTCATGCTTCAATGCAACAACACTAAATGCCTGTTTTGTGTCCACAGTGGCTTTGGCTGTCTTTATCATTCTTCTCTAAATAAATACCACATAATATGAAAATACATAAAAGACTGGTATATTATGGAAGATGACCTATTTTTGGTCATTCTGTTACCTTTATTTCATTTAACAACACTGTAAAGAAGTGAGGATTTTCCCTCTCTCAATAGCAGTCCCTTAAGACATTTCCTATAGAATTGCCTCAGACTCTAATGGGGGAGAGTGGCACAAAAAATTCTTTTCCTTATAAAAACAAGAGAGTAGCTTTTCTCAGATTCCTTGTTATGGATTTCAGTATCTAAATTAGGTATTAAAGCCTGTAAGCATCATCAGCACATCAAAGGAAATAGCAAAACTGGAAACAACACAAAACTCATTCCTTTCCTTTCAATTTTGTCTGGATTTTTTAACTAAGCAACCTATTTTATAGTAAAGCTCTGCTGGAATTTATAGATTTGTGCAATATTTATAGTTTAATCTTACCCAAAATCTCTAATCATACCATGCAAACCTTAAACGCTACCTATCAAATTAGATAGTATTCCTCAAGTGCCTGTTGATGAATAAAGGTCAGACTTTACAGGTCAATACAAGGATGTCTCAGGATTAGGGAAAGGAATTGAACTCAGACTTGTGTGGGAGCTGTGGATAGTACACAAGTATCAAGACTGGCACTCACAAAAAAAGCAAAGAAATTCGAGAACACAATTAATACTTGCACATTGCACGTATTCTTGTGTTCTACTTGTTTGCCTAGACATCTAGTCCTGTTTATTACAGAACTAAAATGGACTTCAATAATAACTAAAAAAATACAGAAAACAAATAGGAAAATAACATCAAGCAAGAATAAAGTTAACTAAATTACAACTTCTCCCAACTAAAACTACAAAGTACATTTATAAAGGTTTGTGGTATCATCCTGGAGTTTTCACAGGAGTCTGGGGTTGAGCTCACACTTCTTCGACAGCACACCATTGAACGTTCAACGAACAACAGGAGTCTTTCAAACAAGTAACAGACTGAGAAAGGAGGGCACCTCCGTTTTGGTTTATTTCCATTCTTCTATTCTGAAGTTCTCTATTTATTAATAAGAATGCATTAACATGAATAGCATCTATTCTCTCCTATGAATATTCATAGCTTTTAGCTTCAAACTGAAATTATTTACTCCAATATAAACCTGTTTTAAATGAATTCTCTACTATATTCACAGGGGGTATTTCAATTTCCAGTGTGTATTAAAGCAGAGTAAATTAGAGTGACAGAAAAAGACTCTCGCACTGTTACTAGTAAACTCTTCAGATTCTTTTGCCAATGAAAATATCTGAAATAGTTTAAAATACTGACACATGACAAAGGGAAAACTTAAGCGGTAAAAAAAATAATGGAACATCAATAAAGAAAGCAAAAGCAGAGCAAAACAAGTAAAGCCTTTACAAGATAAGTAGAGATGTTGCTACAAGCTTTTCCTTTATATTAGATTAAATGACATATCTGAATCACCATATATCATATTTAAGTAGTACAGTGACTTTATTCTGGATATCCTACGTTCATATGCTTCTTTCCAAATAGCGAAATCCTTCAGTTAGGAGCTAAAACATATGTTGAATTTACATCAGTAACTTCATGAAAAGGTTCCTTGCCACTCTTAGCAACAACCCAAGTAGAAACTACCAGAATTCTGGCGTTCC